TTTTACAGAAAATACAAGTGTCATTACGCAATTTTTTTCCTATATTTGTGTCTGCCTATTATTGTAATTGTATTACTTTTTCCTTGTTTATGCATGTAATGCCTACTTGGTTTGCATATTTTTTGAACATTTAAAAAAAAAAAAATTAATAAAAACATAAAAATTAGATGTAGTATATAATCCCAAATCTTATTTTAAAAAAGTTGGTGGTATGGAGTTTCTTTTAAAGTGTGACTTTAAGATTTATAAACTCATATTAGGCTAAAAAAGTCTCCTCTTTCTCTTTTCTTCTGGAGAAAGTATTATTTGTTTTATTTCAGCTCGAATAAAAGCTGCTTTTTATTCTAAACTTTATACTTAAACCATTTTACAGACAAAACCATTAGCCCCTTTAAGCTATTTTCCCCCAATAGTCTACAGAACAAACCATCCTTATACAATAAATTGTCTAATTTAATGTCATCATGGCAAACATAAAATAAATCAGTTATTAGAGATTAGTTATTAAAACTATTATGTTTTAAAATGTGCTGAATAAATCTTATCTCCATTAAACAGAAAAATAAACTTTTTTTTTTACTTGTTCAAACTACTTAACTAAAATGTGCTGAAATAACACAACTCTTGAGATTTCATTGGGACAACTTAATGTTCAGTCCAAATACATTATTAAAAGTGTTAAGTTAACCTAATTTGTGTTGTGACAACATGAAAGAATTGTATGGAACTCTGCACAAATATGGTGATCGGTTCATAATAAGTTTAAGCACATTTCAGATTTTGCTGTATTTGGCTTAACCATTCTTGGGTGGCTCGCCAATGTATAGATGACTCTAATACATCAAATAAGTAAGCTGACCAAAGTTCTTAAAGGGAGAAGACTTTATTGAAGACAATTAATTGTGCAGTTCATCAGCAGTGATGTTAACTTGTCCGTCTTCAAGTAACTTAAACCAAAGTACAGTCTGTGAGACACTAATTTATAACAAAGAATGAAACCCCCCTGGAGATTACCCAACTGCTTTGGTTGGGTCACATCTCTTGAGTCATTTGGTCCACACCTTATCAGAAGCAGATACTTGTTGCATATGAAACAAGCCAATACAATCTATTAACATATAGAGTTATTTTGCCTTCTTGAAGCCCGATATTAACTCTCACAACCTGGTACTGGGCTGTGACCCCTGATCTACACGACAAAACAGCTGGCAAAATCTTCACCCCTTTTCAGTTGAGTTTCAATTTTCAGGTGTTCAAAGGGTTTCATTATCAGTAACTTGATATGCATTCAAGAGTTCACACTTGTTTGGCATGCTATACCGGGAGAGACCTAAGCTCATAAGATCCTCGAGCCCTGGGCTACCTCCCGTAAGCAGGACAAGAGGGGAGTGTGAGCTCAGGTAGATCTCGATGAACTCCCCAGACTTCTTTCTATTCTAATGACAGATATAGGGTCGGCTAAAGGGAGATATAAGGCTTACTAAGAGCTCGACTATGGTGCCAATTTAATGTTCAGTTTACTTAGGTTGTGTGTTTTTGGACTGTGGGAGAAAACCAGGGGACCCAGGGGAAACCCACACGAGCACAGGGAGAATGAACAAACTCTGCACAAAAATGTCAACTGGTTAGTAGTGACTTTAACCTGCGACATTCTTACTGTGAGGCAACAGTGCTAACCACTGGCTAATCATTGGCTGCCGTGTTGCCCAATCTAGAAAGGAGGGGGAGTAAGGGTGGGAGAGGGATTCTTCAAGACAAAGATAACTGAGTAAAGCTACGGTCACACTGGGCTTTTCCTCCCATAGACTTGCATTCATACGCACGTGAATCAGACCAAAAACACAGGGTCATGCGTCAAGTTTCGCAGGTTGCTGAAGTGCAAAGTTCATGCTTGGTGAACTCTGACCTGCGAAATCACATCACTTGACTGCGTGAGACCAATCGAGAATCAAAACATGACCTCTCTGGACAGAAGTTTAAACCATGGAGCAATTGCTCATTTTTTTATTTCTAAAAAATATTGTTTGATCCCGCCCCTTTTCACAGCGCCGTACAACCGAATTTCACAAGCTCAAACTCTAGTGTGACCGCAGCTTTAAGAAACTCTTGTTATTCATAGTGAGTTAGGAATTATCTCATTGGTGAATCATGTTTTAGCTAATGCTGGACCAGCCGTGGACCATCATAAGCATGTGATCCTCTCGAAAGTAGTTTATAAATAAACTTCACTTGAATGAACAGCCAAACTACATGAAAAAGCTGCCGTTTTGAATATACCCGTGTTTGTGTGGACAAGGGCTCATTGTTGAGGACTCTGCTCTCCATTGTGAAGCTTCATGTGAGTGTTGAGGCTTCTTTTACACTTAAAGCCCTTTCCGGGACTTCCGGTTTGGCTGCAGAGGGAAATGGCAGGTTGAGCGCTTAGCTCTCGCAAGTCGGCGTTATATTTACCCCCGTGTAATTATTTTAGATTTTTAAAAAGTGATTTTCCTTCATTGATATGACGGGGGGAAAGAAAGGCAGAGGTAAAGGGGCGCAAAGTACAACGAGTAACCACCCACACCGTGCAGGCCTAGACGAGGAGGACGACATGCGGGAAGAAGAGGACCGACAAAATGGAGGCGAATCAACATCTGAGAATGTGTCCACGGGGCTTGAAACCTTAAGCAAACAGATCA